CAGGCTGATTCAAAAGAAGTTTTCAAACAAAAGATTTTTTATTTATTTTGGATCCTGGAGCTTGAACTCAGGGTCTGGGCGCTGTCCCTGAGCCTCTTTTGCTTAAGGCTAGTGCTCTACCACTTGACCCACTTCCAGCCTTTTTTCTTCTGAGTAGTTTAATTGAGATGAGAGTCTGACAGACTGTCCTACCAAGGCTGGCTTCAAACATGATCCTCTGTTCTCAGCCTCCTGAGTAGCTAGGATTGTAGGTGTGAGACACTGGTGCCAGGCTACAAAAGATTTAAGGTCCAACTTGGTTATTTTATCAGTGTTGCTTTCTTTAAAAAAAAAAAATACGGGGGCTGGGAAGGTGGCTCAGTGGTAGAACACTTACTTTGCATGCTCAAGGCCCTGGGTTCGATTCCTTAGCACCACATAAGCAAAAAGAAAAAAGCCGGAAGTGGCGCTGTGGCTCAAGTGGTAGTGCGCTAGCTTTGAGCTGAAGAGCTGAGTGACAGTGCCCAGGCCCAGAGTTCAGGCCCCATGACCGGACCCAAAAAAAAAAAAATACACCGAGTCCTATTATTTGTTAATTTCTTTGGTCAGATTGTATGAATTTGTACACATACATTATCAAATACATATTGTGTTGAAATTAGGTTGATGTCATAATATTCAGAAAACTTGTGGTTTCTTTTTTAAAAAGATATTTTGTGGTTAGACTAAAAGAGTAAATGTGTTTCTTGTGCACATTATTATGGTACTAATGGTTTTTTAGATACTTACTAGAATGTTAACATGTTAATATATGCCCTGTAAATGATATGAGACACTATTACTGTGAAATGTATAGTCTGCACAATAAATGCTATATAAGAAACAAGCCTAACTCCAAATAACCTTTTTGCTAGTTCACACTTTTGAGTGGTCTCTTCTCAAGATGTAAAGAACCTCAAGGATATATAATTTTGGTGATAAACTAGGTTATAAAATAAACTTAATTACTGATGATAATAGGCAATGTCAACTTCATGTATTCTCTTGTTTATTGATAGTTTTAGTAAGACCCATTTGAGAACATGCTCTTGGTAACCGGCCTAATATCTTCTATCGTGTAAAAGTTTATAGCTTTGTGTTCTAAGTCTATGTACATAGGAAGTAAATTGAGGAAACTTTTGAGTCCTTCTGTCAGACCAGTTACCCGTGATGAGTACTTAGGAAGACATTTTTGGGGTGGGAGTGTTTGTATACCTTGGTTGAATTTAAGGCTTTACACTTGCTTTGCTTGCTTGCTCATCTGATGTTCTGCCATTTCAGCCATACCTTTAACCCAGTTTTTTGCTGGTTAGTTTGGAGATTGAGTCTCACAGACTTTTTTTTTTTTTGCTCATACTAGCTTCAGCATCTCCGCCTCCCGAGTAGCTAGGATTATAGGCATGGGCTGCTGGAATTTGTCTAGATAGGTTTTTTTTATGTTGTTGTTTATTTGTTTTGGTGTATAGTGGGGTTTTTTCCTCTTAAATATTTAGGGGTAGTTTGTAAAATCCAGACATTATTGACAAGGATGCTTAATGTACTTAGAGTAGAAACACTTTTACTATAAAATTTTATAGCAATTTAAAATCCATTAATAGGTAAGAAAACTAATATTCTTTAACTTTACATGTTCACCACAATCCAATAAATAAAAGTCAACAAGTCTATATTAAGTGTCTACCCTGGGTTATCTATCTTAAAGACTTCCTTGAGAAAACAATGTGTTAGGAGTTCATAGATGAATGGTTATTTTATTTATTTATTTAGTTAATTAGTTAGTCGTTGGGCTTGAACTCTGGGCCTGGGTGCTGTCCCTCAGCTCAGCTCTTCAGCTCAAGGTTAGTGCTCTACCACTGGAACCATAGTGCCACTTCTGGCTTTTTCTGCTTATGTGGTACTGAGGAATCAAACCCAGGGCTTCATGCATACAAGGCAAGCACTCTACCACTGAGCCACCTTCCCAGCCCAAAACGAGTGGTTATTACCAGGGTAAACATATTGTCACAGTTTCCCACTTGCCTTCATCCAATTATTCCAGGTTAAGAAAGATGTGAAGTATTTGAAAAACCAAAAGGACTAGAGAATGGTTTTGGCAGGGATGGGAGAGGACTGAACAGATAGCTAGTTCTTCTAACTTTTTAGCCATGTTTAGGACTTTAGGCGGTGGAAGGCCATTCAAGGCTTCAGGCAGGAAGGTAATATCAGATTTTTTTTTCTTTTTGCAAATTTTTAAACAACTCTACTGTGGAAAATGGATTCCAGTGAGTCCAATATGGATTCAAAGATTTCAGGTTAATGATGTTATTGAAAGAATCTGACATAATGGATTAGATGAGAGTGGTAATGGAGAAGTAGATGGATTTAAGAGGTATCTTGGAGTTGTGAATGACGACAGGCTTGGTGGGTTTCCTGATAAAACATTAAAGAAGGAGAAATGTCGATCTCACTTGATAGGAAGAAGAGCCAGAAGGTCCTTTTTAACTCATTGAAACCTTCCTTAGTTTATGGGCATAGCTGGGGAGCACTACAAATCATTTATCATTAGTGTGTGTATGCATGTGTGTGGATATGTTTATATACATATGCAAAATATGTATTTAAGTTGTCTGAAAGCATGCAGATGCAAGACAGTACCGTCATTATGTCCTGAAGTCAGTAAAGACAGTGTTTTGTTTTGTTTTTTTTTTAAAGAAAAACAATCACAGAAGGGTAGTAAGAATCTGATAAAGATTTTTTTTTTTCCACTCCTTTTCAAAAAACCAAGGGCTGGAGCCCTGCTGTGTAGCTCTGCCTAGCATTACACTCCCTATGCAGTCCAGACTAGCCTCAGATTTTTGATCCTCCTGCTTTAGTCTCCCCAGTGCTAGGATTACAAAAAGTGAGTTTTGAGTAGTGACTAGCGTATAATTACAAAGAGGTTGTCCATGTGAATAGACTTGTCAGCAGAATAGGACTGAACTGCTTCTAGGAGGCTTCTAGTCTTTTTGAGGTACATTTTGTAGTAAGAAGAGGAACTTGTGAAATGTCATTCTGCAGACTGCTTAGCTAGAGTGTGGACAGCTATCCCTAGTGACCATTTTGCCTTAGCTTTCTGTAGCTTTAGAAACTTCCCATGTCTGAATTTTAAGATTTTAGGGGGACCTTTGTTAAGAAATTATTTTCCTCCTTAACTGATAATAAGCTACCAACATTGTGGCAGCTGTTTCACTGTTAAGTGCAAAGGCTTTTGCTTAGATTTTACAAATAACTGTTTTGGAAAAGTGCTATCCATGTAAGCCCCTCTCGCACTCATGGCTTTGTGGAGGATGAATTTGCACCTCTAGGTACACCATGAACAACACCAATTTATAAAAATGGAGAGTTATTCCTAATTATTCTCTCAGTTCTAGGAGTAGACTGGCTTTGGAGATTCTCGTTGGTACAGTAACAAGTGAATGGACCTTTACTGTGTCAGGCTCAGATGAAGTAGCCGGGGCCCTTCTGTCTACAGTACCTTCAGTGTAGAGTGAAAGGAGACACTTGCTGTCTCACGTTTTGTTGTTTACTTTTTTCAGATAACATAAATCTAACTCTTCTTATTAGGCTCTTCCCTTCATTATTGTATCACTCCCTTCTTTTTGGCAATAGGGAGAAATTGGATCTGTGTGAAAGGAAAGGTATAAGGGAATATGACTGACAGAAATATCACGACCCAAAGGAGGAGATGACTCTTACATAATCGTTCTTTCTTTGGCCTGGGAAAATACCTTTCACTTCTAATTACTGTCATTTGTTGAATACTAATGTGGCAAATACGTTACTTAGTCCACATTATCCTGAGAGGTTTGAATAACCTCCTCCTTTGACTTTATAAACAAGACATTGAAAGTTTAAGCACTATCCTTTTTTTTTTTTTTTTTTTGGTCGTTCGTGGGGCTTGAACTGTAGGCCTGGGCGCTGTCCCTGGGCGCTCAAGGCAAGCGCTCTACCTCTTGAGCCACAGCACCACTTCCAGTTTTCTAGTGGTTTATTGGAGATCAGAATCTCATGGACTTTTCTGCCCAGGCTGGCTTTGAACCGTGATCCTCAGATCTCAGCCTTCTGAGTAGCTAGGATTACAGGCTACAGCCACCGGCGCCCTGCTAAGCAATATACTTTTACCTACTCATATGCCCAATAAGTAGAAAAGTTACAATATGACTCTAGGTCCATCTACAGCTAACATTCTTGGTGCTACGTAGAGTGCTACTTTTCTCACGGGAATCAGAAAATGCTGTAGGAAAAAATTCTGAATTTCTGCTGACTTGCATTAACTTTTATCTGTAAGATGAGAGACTTGAGCTGAATCTTTAAAGACATCTCTAGTTGTAAATAAAAATTTGCAGAATTGATCACCCCCTCTGTGTTTTATATGTCTACTTTAAACTGAATATAACCAGACTTTATTTCATCTGAATTTTTGTCTTTGTTGGTAAATTTATTTTCTTTATTGTTATTGATAAACACTTATTTCTTCCATCTCTTATGCATTTTCTATTTGCTTTGTTGTTTCCTGTAATACTATTTTCCTTCTGCCCTGTCCTCTATTGGTATAAAAATTATTTCTTCTTTTTTCTTCTATTGATTGAAAATTTAACATGCATCTTTAAGTTCTCAAGGTCTTAACATTGACATCAGTATGTGTACCATTCTCAACAATAAAAGGCATTGGGAAACCAATTCTTTTCAGTCCCTACCAGTCTCACAAAATTTTGTTGTTGTTTTTTTTGGGTCTGGTCATTGGGCCTGAACTCTGGGCCTGGGCGCTGTCCCTCAGCTCTTCAGCCCAAGGCAAGCGCTCTACCACTGAGCCACCTTCCCAGACCTCACAAGTTTTTTTGCCAGGATTTACTTCCACGTTTTTAATCACCCAAATTATAGATTTATTGTTGCTATGGTATTTAATTTTCTAATACTGATTGTGAGCTCCTTAATATTAAAAATAGTTCTCTCCTTCTGTTTAGATTTTCAAAAGAAACAACCAGACGATGATTCCGCTCCAAGTACAAGTAACAGTCAATCAGATTTGTTTTCTGAAGAGACCACCAGTGACAACAACAATACCTCCATAGCCACGCCAACTCTTAGTCCCAGCCAGCAGCCGCTTCCGACAGAACTGAATGTAACTTCACCCAGTAAAGAGGAATGTAAGTGTGCATAGCCCTGCGGTTGACCCACCAACTGAGCAAGTAAATACAATAAGGATGCCTGGAAGTGCCCAGATCATGAAAGGTAGCAGTGGGTAGAATAGGCCTAGAACCTTACCATGAGCTTCTTGGTAATGCCTAATAGCAGATGAGACATGGAAGTTCTTTTTATTCACTGTAAGTGTCCAACATATAGGACCCAGCTCAGCAAGTTAGAGAACAAGTTTCAGCCATTCCACTGAATGTAAGGTCTTCTCAGGAAGATATTAACCATCAAAGCACAACAGGTTATTAATCAGTATAGAAACCAATGACTCTCTGCCCTAGCTGCACATTAGAAGCCATTGGGGATTTTTTTTTAATTAAGAATTTTAATCTCTAGACCATTTGTGGATTCTAATTTAATTGGTCTCAGGGGAAACTTTTAGACTGTCCTTTTTAATTCTGCAACAAGGTTTAGGAATCCTGGTCCAGGAAGCTTCATCCTGATTTAGGAGCCTTGGATTGATTGCCCCTTATTGGGTCTTGACATCACTCAATTTAGAAAGTATGTATTTCATTGGACATAGGCTATTTATAGAGACTAGAAAATTGTTTCTGTCATTCTTGTCTTTAGTGATAATGTATGCGATGTGATGTGTAAGTTCATTTTTACTTAACCTTTATAATGCTAGAACTGTCTCTTCTGGGATACAGCTATAACATTATTTGTTGAAAACTATAGGAGTACTGTGGTAGTCATTTTTGCCTCTTAAAAGCTTTACTTAATCTGGGCACTGGTGGCTGGCACCTGTAATCCTAGATACTGAGGAGGCTAAGATCGCTGGGGATCAAGTTCAGAGACATCCAGGTCAGGAAAGTCTGTGAGACACTTATCTCCAATTAACTGCCAGAAAACTGGAAGTGACACTGGGGTTCAAAGTAGTAGTCTTGAGCAAAAGAACTCAGGGGCAGCGCCCACACCCATGACTGAAAAAAAAAAAGCTTTACCTAGTAAGGTTGGAATTTAGTGTTTCAAGGTTAATGAATATCTAGAAATATAATATGCTAAAATAGTCTGTCTACTAATTTTGGAAAGGGTAGCAAAGAACAAAATAGTTATCTAAATTTTTCATACACTATCCTATTCAGTTATAATGAAAGTATAAAATAAAGATGCTCATAGTTTGTCAAAGAATTTACTATTTAGCAGGGGAAATTAAATTTGCAGCATTATATCAGAGGTTATCAAACAGGAATAGACTCTTCTTTTCCCAAAGCATTTAGTAGTTTCTAGAAGCCAAGGATCCGGGTAAACACCCTACATTGCTTGACATGTCAATAATGCCAAAGTTTTAAAACCCTGATACTTAGTTATGTGCCCTGTAGTTGTGTTCATTCTTCTTATAAACCAAAAACTGTTTTAGAAGGAAATGATACTGAAGATAGATGGAAGGTACTAGTTTTAAACAACAGTTACCCTCCTGTGCTGCAGAAGAGTAGAATTTATTTGTCCTGTTTAACTGGACCTCTGTATCTATTAGCTGTCCTCTCCTCGTTCTGCCTTCTTAGCCTCTGGTTACCAGTGTTCTTCCCTTGTATGAAATCAACATTTTTTAAAAAGTTTTTATAAATATTTTTAAATTTATTTTATTAATTTTTTTATTTTTTGATTTCTTTTGCAAATTTTTTATTGTGATTAAGTGATTACATAATTTCACAATATTGTGGGATAATAATACTTAATTAAAGTCACAAACACTTTCTAACCTTCATGGGGCAAATTGTCTATCATGGTCTATAAAGTTTATGAGTTCTATGGGCTTTGACAATACAGTTATTTCTTCCACATCGGTTTTACAAACACTTTCATAGAACACATATTGTCTTTCTGAGCTTGACAGTTAACTTGATATAATATTATCCAAGTTCATCTATATTGCTGCAAGTAAGGGCTTCATTTGTTATATGAGTAAATAATATCCCATTGTGTGCTTATATCACATTTTATTATCCATTTATCCAGGGACGGATAGTTATACTTTCTTGTTTGTCACGTTTGTTTGTGCCCTATATTAGAAATTAGATATCTGGTCTATATTTATCTTAACTGTTAAGTGAGTTTCCTGTGTAGGTAACATACAGTTGAATCTTAAAAAAAAAAAAATTGGTCATCTAGTCTCTGCCTTTCAATTGGGGTAATTGTATTAATTATATTCATGGTATTTGGTAAGTTTTATTTCCCTTGGTGTTTGTATTAGAGGATTATTGTATTCCTTGGGGGGTGTCTGTCATTCTTTCTTGTTTGTCATATTTGTTAGTGCCCTACATTAATATCTATGAATCTCGTTACAGCAGTCACCCTCCCTTCCCTCCTCCCTCCCCCACTTCCTTCCTTTTCTTCTTTCCTCCCAGTGCTGGGGATTGAGTGCATTCTAGGCACCCAGTTGAGTTTGAGTTATTGTCCTAGTCCTACTTTTTCCTGTCATGGATAATAGAGTGTTTGTTGTTGCTGGTTATTTTGGTGGCCAGATACCATCTGGCATGTGCTCATTGGTTGTATAGGTTGCTCTCTGTTGGAGTGGAATTGCTGCCAGGCTTAGATGTGTGTTAGTATTGCTCCCTAAACTGTGTACTTAACACCTGGCTGGCTGTCAGAAGGGCCATTGGCACATAGGACTTGTCAGGCCACTAGCTGCGTATTAGTTTCCTCTGTGTACAATTCACCTTTTGTCTAAATCTTGAGACGCCACAAAGATTGAAAACTCAAGGTCTTGGCCTTTCTTCTGGGCTTAGGGTCTGAGTAGCTAGTGTTCAAATTCTGCAGTGAGACATGTGAATGTGGTGTAGCAATCGTAGAGTTCAAGACTAGAGGTATGTGTGGCTGCTAGCACTCAGGGGAGGGTGCATGCACTACAGCAGTGGGTTCCCTTTCAAGATGGAACACAGTAGCAGCTTGAGTTACAGGGATGGGCAGTGTACACTGTGGGCTCTTCTTCTGGGACATTAGAACTGTGTAAAAACTATACTAGTGCTTTTGATGGTTATAGTGTCTTTTGTAGACGGCAGACACCAGCAGAGTGGGGATTATTAGAGTTCTCCAGTTTGTCTCTTCCTTGTGAGAAGTTTGTCTTTGAGGGGAAGGAAAGACAGTATAGAAAAAGCAGGCTGCCTTACCCACATGTCTATTGTACTGTCCTGGGTTTTTGCATTCACCAGAATTGTTTATGCTTTAAACCTCTAGTATATTTCCTGATTCATTCTGGTTGGAATGTAGTTGATGCATTGTTGGTAGTTTATGTGTGTGGGAGGGGGGGAAGCAAGCAATAGACAGCTATTCATCCATTTTGCTAACAATGTTGCCTTTAAATGTTGATTGATCTATTGCCTTAAAAGTACATTAAGGGGCTGGGAAGGTGGCTCAATGGTAGAGCGCTTGCCTTGCATGCATGAGGCCCTAAGTTCTATTCCTGAGCACCACATAAACAAAAAGAAAAAAGCCGGAAGTGGCGCTGTGGCTCAAGTGGTAGAGTGCTAGCCTTGAGCTGAAGAGCTGAGGGACAGCACCCAGGCCCAGAGTTCAGGCCCCACGACCGGACCCCCCCCCCAAAATAAAAGTACATTAAGCAGACTTGGGCACTGGTGGCTCACCCCTGTAATCCTAGCTACTCAGGAGGCTGAGAGCTGAGGGTTGCGCATGAAAGTCCATGAGACTCTTATCTCCAGTTAACCACCAAGAAAAGCCAGAAGTGGAGGTATGGGTCAAGTGGTAAAGTACCAACCTTTAGTACAAAAACTCAGAGACAGTGCGCAGGCCCAGAGTTCAAATGCTAGGACCCACAGAAAAACTAAAATATTAAAACAGCAACTAGCACTTATGTAAAACCATAGTTTACAATAGGATTGATAAACTTCATCACCAGTCAAGGGAGTTCATCATTAGGTTTTGTACCATCCACAAGTAAGGCATGACTTTTACACTCTCAAATGATCAAAGAAATCAAATGAACAGTATGTTGTAACGTGTGGAAATGAGTAAAGTTTTATTGGCATACATTGTTCTGTTGTAGTTTGAATCGGAAATGTCTCCCACAGACTCAGGTATTGAATGCTTAAGTCTCCCTCTGCACTTGTCTGGTCCTTGGGGGCCTCCTGTCCCTGGATCCTCCTTGTCCTTTTGTCTGCTTGTCTACAGTGAAACAGATAAACTTCTCCAGCACAGGCTTCCAGCACTGTGACATTCTGCAGCTGTGCACGAGGCCAAGTAACTATGGATTGAACCCTAACACTGAGAGCTAGGGTCTTCTATGTTTCTGGGCTCATCCTAATATGGTACAGCACATAGGAAAGATGTTCTCCTTCCTGCCTACGTAGGAGAAAAAGGTTGATGACACACTGTGAGTTACACAACAAGGCTAGGGACAGTCACAACTAAGAGTTGAGTCTTTGCATGAATGTCTATATGTCTATATGGTCTTTTCCCAGATCTTCTCTATGGCATCCATCCAGAAGATACTTTTCTTGTAATCATAAGAAAACACACACACACACACACACACACAAATACACACAAACACCAGAATGTTAGTGGAGATCTTTGTGGGCATTTTTCAAGGCCTAACTAGAGTTTTCTTAAATATGACACTCATTTTTTTCCAACAGTGAAATTTTGAGAACTTTTTTTATATCATGGTTAAATTTATTTAGTGGAACAGATTTTCATTGCTTTTTTTTTTGAAACTGGCTTCTGATGATATCCTTGATTCCCCTTGGGGGGGGGGGGGAGAAAAGAAGGAGAGAAGGAAGGAAGGAAGGAAAAGTTAATTTCATTATGTAGTTCAGGCTGGCTTGAAATAAATGAGCCTTGTGCCTCATTTTTCTGAGTAGTAGGATTATAGGCATGTGTAACCCTACCTGGTTGATAGTGCCTTTTAAACAGATGTTTTTGGTAGAGTACCTCTGCATCTAACAAGGCCTTATCTGATGGCTGAAATATTCTGTCACTGCCACCAAGAGGCTAA